CCAGGGGCCACAAAGGAATGATGATCTAGAACCTAGAAATGTGTGGTTGCAGCCCTTTGCTCCCCAGGGGCCACAAAGGAATGATGATCTAGAACCTAGAAATGTGTGGTTGCAGCCCTTTGCTCCCCAGGGGCCACAAAGGAATGATGATCTAGAACCTAGAAATGTGTGGTTGCAGCCCTTTGCTCCCCAGGGGCCACAAAGGAATGATGATCTAGAACCTAGAAATGTGTGGTTGCAGCCCTTTGCTCCCCAGGGGCCACAAAGGAATGATGATCTAGAACCTAGAAATGTGTGGTTGCAGCCCTTTGCTCCCCAGGGGCCACAAAGGAATGATGATCTAGAACCTAGAAATGTGTGGTTGCAGCCCTTTGCTCCCCAGGGGCCACAAAGGAATGATGATCTAGAACCTAGAAATGTGTGGTTGCAGCCCTTTGCTCCCCAGGGGCCACAAAGGAATGATGATCTAGAACCTAGAAATGTGTGGTTGCAGCCCTTTGCTCCCCAGGGGCCACAAAGGAATGATGATCTAGAACCTAGAAATGTGTGGTTGCAGCCCTTTGCTCCCCAGGGGCCACAAAGGAATGATGATCTAGAACCTAGAAATGTGTGGTTGCAGCCCTTTGCTCCCCAGGGGCCACAAAGGAATGATGATCTAGAACCTAGAAATGTGTGGTTGCAGCCCTTTGCTCCCCAGGGGCCACAAAGGAATGATGATCTAGAACCTAGAAATGTGTGGTTGCAGCCCTTTGCTCCCCAGGGGCCACAAAGGAATGATGATCTAGAACCTAGAAATGTGTGGTTGCAGCCCTTTGCTCCCCAGGGGCCACAAAGGAATGATGATCTAGAACCTAGAAATGTGTGGTTGCAGCCCTTTGCTCCCCAGGGGCCACAAAGGAATGATGATCTAGAACCTAGAAATGTGTGGTTGCAGCCCTTTGCTCCCCAGGGGCCACAAAGGAATGATGATCTAGAACCTAGAAATGTGTGGTTGCAGCCCTTTGCTCCCCAGGGGCCACAAAGGAATGATGATCTAGAACCTAGAAATGTGTGGTTGCAGCCCTTTGCTCCCCAGGGGCCACAAAGGAATGATGATCTAGAACCTAGAAATGTGTGGTTGCAGCCCTTTGCTCCCCAGGGGCCACAAAGGAATGATGATCTAGAACCTAGAAATGTGTGGTTGCAGCCCTTTGCTCCCCAGGGGCCACAAAGGAATGATGATCTAGAACCTAGAAATGTGTGGTTGCAGCCCTTTGCTCCCCAGGGGCCACAAAGGAATGATGATCTAGAACCTAGAAATGTGTGGTTGCAGCCCTTTGCTCCCCAGGGGCCACAAAGGAATGATGATCTAGAACCTAGAAATGTGTGGTTGCAGCCCTTTGCTCCCCAGGGGCCACAAAGGAATGATGATCTAGAACCTAGAAATGTGTGGTTGCAGCCCTTTGCTCCCCAGGGGCCACAAAGGAATGATGATCTAGAACCTAGAAATGTGTGGTTGCAGCCCTTTGCTCCCCAGGGGCCACAAAGGAATGATGATCTAGAACCTAGAAATGTGTGGTTGCAGCCCTTTGCTCCCCAGGGGCCACAAAGGAATGATGATCTAGAACCTAGAAATGTGTGGTTGCAGCCCTTTGCTCCCCAGGGGCCACAAAGGAATGATGATCTAGAACCTAGAAATGTGTGGTTGCAGCCCTTTGCTCCCCAGGGGCCACAAAGGAATGATGATCTAGAACCTAGAAATGTGTGGTTGCAGCCCTTTGCTCCCCAGGGGCCACAAAGGAATGATGATCTAGAACCTAGAAATGTGTGGTTGCAGCCCTTTGCTCCCCAGGGGCCACAAAGGAATGATGATCTAGAACCTAGAAATGTGTGGTTGCAGCCCTTTGCTCCCCAGGGGCCACAAAGGAATGATGATCTAGAACCTAGAAATGTGTGGTTGCAGCCCTTTGCTCCCCAGGGGCCACAAAGGAATGATGATCTAGAACCTAGAAATGTGTGGTTGCAGCCCTTTGCTCCCCAGGGGCCACAAAGGAATGATGATCTTTTACTTAAAAACTTGAGAAATTGATCAGACCCATGCAGCAAACTTTAAAAACCTTATCCTAACCCTAACTGTCAACAAAAATGTCAACTGGAACAAAACGATTCTATTAAAACATCACAGACAGATCTATCTAATTCATGGGTTCCAAACCTGGGGGTCGCGACCCCCTTGGGGGTCGCGAAGGGCTTTCTGGGGGGTCGCCAACTGGTAGACTAAAATCTAGCAATGAATAAAAAACATTAATATTTAGAAAAAATATTTGAAATTCGGCATTACTAACATCACTGGAAATGGAATAGAGAATAAACAATGTGTACTGTGCAAAGTTATTCTTAGTCAGGAGTCTATGAAAACTTCCAAACGTCCATTTGAGACGCGTCATTCGGAACACACCAAAAAAGATATGTAGTTCTTTCGTCGGCATGAAGCTAGTTGCAAACGTCAGAGACTTGATTGAACAGAACGTTTTCACCAAGAAAACACAGCATTAGTGCAAGCATCATATGAAGTAGTATTAGAAATTGCCAAGCAAAAAAACTCTCACACAAAGGAGAAGTTCTCATCAAACCATGTATGCTGAAGATGGTAAAATTAATTCTTGGGGATTCCAGTGCAGTAACGATGCAATAAATATCTCTGTCTAATTATACAATTCAGCGGCTTATGTTAAAAGACAAATTTAGAATGAAATCAAGCTTTCACCATTGTTTGATTTTCAAGTTGACTAATCGACAGACGTGAGTTCGTGTTCGCAGTTGCTTGTCTTTGTGAAATATTTTCATTCAGATGTTAGCAAATAAGAGTTGATGTTTTGTGAAGATATCATGGAGAAAATAAATACGTTTTTTTGAAACTGGAGGATTAAAATGGGAAAACGGCTGGGGGGCTTGTACGGATGGTGCGTCATGTTTGGGTCAAAATGGGGGTTTCAGAAAAAAGTAAAAGGTAAAAGATTTAGCTCCCTAATGAAAGGGAATCCACTGCATGATTCACATATGCCCTCGCCAGCAAGACTTATCCGACTCCATTGCTAATAAAAGTCGTAAATCATATTAAATCTGGAGTCCTAAACACCTGTCTGTTTCAAGAAATGTGCAAAGACATGAATAAAGATCACGAGGTTCTACACTTCAATACGCTGGCTGTCAATAGGAAATGTCAATTGTGTTTTTGAATTGAAAGATGAAATCAAGATGCTCTTGGAAGTGCAAGGAAACAAGACTTTTTTATATACTTTTTAACGACATGGTGTGGTTGGAGAGAGTATCATACCTAGCAGATATATTCGAACATCAACATAAGCTTAACCTAATAAAGGAACGAATATTATCTCTTTTCATGATAATCTCTTGGCATTTTTTTTTTATCAAAGCTGCAAAATTGGCGAGGAAAAATAAATATTTGAAATACTGCCATGTTTGAGAAACTATGCAGTGTGGATTGATAGATAACATTTCTAAAGGATTCTGTGCATCTTGAATCTCTTGACAACGAACTGCGGCGTTATTTTCCCCGAGCTGAAAGAAGAAGAATCTGCATTGTCACCCATTCTCTGCTTTCCTTGATGTTACCAGCATTGCCGATGAATAACAAGATGAATTCTTAAATTCTTAAATTTAATTGTTAATGCTAGTTAATGCTTGTTAATAGCATGTAATTTTGCTCATCGTATTATAACAGTTATCAAGAATAATTCATATTGAAATTATATGGGGGTCGCGGGTCACTTACGTTTTATGAAAGGGGGTCGCCACTCGAAAAAAGGTTTTGAACCACTGATCTAATTAGTACTTTTAAAAACAAATAATAAGAACATGACTTGAAAATTTTACGAAAATGTTGACTTTAGCTTTTGAAAAAAAAGAACGATACATTTGAATTATACTATTTATGGATAGTCAGTGCTGTTATACTTGCAGTAGTCTATGCTGTGCTTTTATTAAGAAAAAGAAACTGTTAGTTCATGACGTTCTTTCATTGTCTGTCCTGTTTTCCTACGCTATGTCAAACTACTGTCACATGATGTCATCTCTAAAGTGTTTCTTCCGGACTTTTTTATCCGGGGGAGGGGGGTCACTTGAAATTTTCGGGGGGGGGGGGGGGGGGTTGGACTAAAATTTCTTGGGGGGGGGGCGGTCACTGTTAAAAGTATATATTTTCTATATAAATTCCATTTCGTTCGGGAAGGGGTAGGGGGGGGGGGGTGTTAGACCTTCTTCAGAAGGGGGGGGGGGGGCGACTCCGCTCCCCCCGAAGAGATACCTGAAAGAAACTCTACATCTTTAGAACTTATGTCGTCAGCCACAACTTTCGCACTAGTTTTATAATCGGATAAAAAGTGTTGTTTTTTTGTAAAGAGGGTGGGTACGGAACACAATAATACAATGGCGTTATCAGTGAATCTCCATTACTATAGTCCATGTGTTAAGCTTGTAAATAGAGAATATACATCTATAAGCCCTAATATAGCCTATATCTAGAGCTTCAGAGGCGTGGGGGGGGGGGGCGGGGGGACAAATGTCCCCGGGTGCCGACCTTAGGGAGCGCCAAAATGGGTAGGAATAATAAATTGAAAGGTTGAGGGGGGTGCAAATCGAAAGTTTGAGGAAGGGGTGCAAACTGAAATCTTGAGGAGGGGGGGGGGGGGTGCAAATCGAAAGTTTGTCCCCGGGCGCCGGGGAGGGTTGCTACGCCTCTGTAGAGCAAAGGCACCTATAAACCCTAATATAGCCTACTATAGCATAATTCTGTTGAAAATACAAGCGTACAGTGGCGTACACGCCTACACATCAGCATGTTAGTTCTAATTGTTTTTGCGTGTGTAAGAAGCCGGTAAGCTATAGCTTAGGGTATAACCCAAACACATTATGTAATGCAGACAGACAGAGGTACTGAAATCAAAATGATTTAAAAATATAAAATTAAGAAAAGTGTGGACTAATGTTAAAACTGTTACCTTCAGGAGCACGCAGATCTTTGAAGGAAGTCCAAAACAGTGCATTCTGGTGCATTCTGGTGCACATTTTCTTTGTTTTAAGAACTTCCGTTTTTGAAATTTTAAACGAATGCACACTGTAGTGCCGCATTTCTGTTTCGCCATCAAGAGTTTTAAAAAGTTCGCGTTAATAAAATATAATACACGTATACACTTGATAACGGTTCGATGAAGGATCTTCGCCTGAATCAAAACAAAATGTAAAAAATAAATACGTTTTCAATGAGTTTTCTTACAGAAAATAAATCCCACCTTAACTTACAACAGAAGATCATCCATTGTTAATTGACTGTGTCCATTTAAAAAAGTAAAGTATACACATGATGAATTACTGACAAGTTTAGGTTAGGGTAGGTTCATTAATGATTACAAGCTATACAGACGGATGTTGTTCAGTGTTTCTTGAGACTTTTTTCTTCGGGGGCGGGGGGGGGGGGGGCGGGGGGGGGAAGGGGGGGGGGGAACGATGACGACGGACGGACACTGGTAAAAATATATTTTTCTATATAAATTCTATTTCATTCTGGAGGAGAGGGAGGCTGTGACCTCCTCCCCTCCCCCGCCCCCACCCCACAAAGAGATACCTGAAAGAAACACTGTTATTCCAGACTTGCTACTACTTTTTCTTGGTCATCTTGAATTAAGACATGTTATGTTATTATTATTATTATTATTTTTTTTTTTTTGCATTTTAGAAAAGGCAAACATAACTCGATACTTCAGCATAAAAAAACTAGGAGATTCTGGAATTATCTGAGCTCTCTCGTCAGTAATAAAAGCTCTTCTCGACTTCATTTTTAACTACGTCGTCTGTCATATTGACTTCCCGCAGAAGATCGTTAAGATAACCACGTCACATTAAAGTAGAGTGGGTATAATCAGGGAGACACAGTAGACACAGCCAGGGGGAATTACTCTTTAAACCAGGGGGAATTACTTTTTATACAAAGTGGCATTACTCTTTATACCAGGGGCATAACTCTTTGTATCAGGGTACATTATTTTGAATTAGTAGGACAACCGAGGTCGACAACACTACCTCGCGTGCACCCAACGAACACCAGCCGTAAACACAAGTGGTACACTTAGGTCGGGAACCGTGGGGGAAGTAGGTCAGCAGGGCCGTGAATGAAAGAAAACTCCACTCTCGTAACACGGCATTGCGAATTGTAGCCGTGAAGTTGTAAGTAATGATAAACTTATAGGATGTTTACTTTCATTAAGGTGATGTTTTAAATAAAAAATACAACAACTGCGATGTGCTTGTTTACGTTGTGAAGTTGCATTAGTTTCGCATTTTTTGAACACGTAAGTTCTGTCAGTGTTAATTTTGTCCTTAACACATTAATACATTCAGGTCACATTGTTTTTATCTTGTGGCCTAAATTTTATTTGTGTGTGATAGAGCTGAGCGTATCTCCACTCACAGTTTTTAAATTTTATTTTACAGTTTAATTTAGGCTTATTAGTCTGTAGTTCTTATGATCTTTTATGGTTATTTATATTACATGTTGATGTAACATTTTCGTTTTTTTTATTTTATAGATTTATATTTTAGTTCAAATTAAATTATAGGCAACATACTTTTTTAGAATTTCGCTTTCTTAAAAATATAACAGGCTGCAAATTGATTTTTAAGCATTAAGTGCTAGTATTATATCGAACACGCCTAATAAAAAATAACCTAACTTATTTTCGTAGGTTTATTGTTTTTTTTCTTACATCCTTACAACTAGGAAGAGGGGTCAGAGTTTTTTTGTAATAACCCGATCCTCTAAATATATGACTGTATTTTAGAGATGACATGTATATCCTCTGCACATTTTAAATTTTGATCAACAGTTTAGAAAGCCTTAAAACATAATTTTAAAAGCTATACAATTTTGTTTATCGTATTGAAAATATATGCTTTTTTTCATTGTTTAAACTGAAATTCTTAGCCTTTTAACTGAATAGTATTCCCTTCTTCATCCAATAAAATATTTTCTCTTTTGGACAATTAACAAATAATTTTAAAAGCTAATCAATTTTGTTTATCGCATTGAAAATATATGCTTTTTTTCATAAACTGAAATTCTTAGCATTTTAACTGAATAGTATTCCCTTCTTCATCCAATAAAATATGTTCTCTTTTGGCCAAATTATATTTGATTTTAAAGTGACATTAAAAATAAAAAAAAAATCCGAATAGTTCCAGTCCAATTTTTGTACAACCGTGACTGCTGCTCACGTCTTGATACATAGTTTGTTCATTGATTCGTCATTACACAACAGCGAAAACATCAATACAACATCTCAACCCAAGCTTCTCCCTCGCCGCTCTATGTTCCTCCATTACCTTTTCCTATATAATGTTACACACAACACCCTAAACACACGCTAGTTTATCCCCTCATCCCTGTACACACTTCAAGCACATCATCCACAAGTTTAAACTACATAACCTACTCAGATCATCTCCCTTATACGTCGTTATCGCCCATATTGGGCATTTATATTTAACATATAGGCCGTATGCTTCTTAAACTAAACCTACCCTTACCTCTTATTTATCCAGTATTTACTTGAACTCCATTTCTTAGACACTGAATTAATTAGTTTTTTGCGTATTTTTTGTATCAAAATAAAAACGCGCCGGCTTTACAGCGTTTGGTTACCGATGAATGGTCCCCAGTTCAGGCGTCGACTTGAGTATTTGTATGGAAAGAGGAGAGGTGCCAATTATGTTTTGTATTGCTTTGAAACAGGAAGCCTCATACACATAGTTGTTTTTTTTTCTATTTTATCCATGCACATACAGCATATACGGGCTTTTCAATGTCATACACTGACACACAATGACATCCAGAGATGACATCGGCGACACAGACACGGTTTCATATAAACATTCGATGGCATGTAGTTTAACAATATCATTCTACAACAGCGAACATAGCCATTACATTTTAACCTCCAACAGCATGGGTAAAAGCATAGCGATGCACGGTACAAATATAAACATTTTAACTATAAAATATTTCTGTCAAAGTCAAATCTACAAGATACACAACCTTCTACATAAGAGAGAACATCATCTAAATTTGACTTTTCTTTAATAAATTCAGAATAAACAAAAGTTATATATATATACTATTGGATCTAAATTTAACCTTTCTTTAATATATTTAATATATGTCAAAAGATGAATTTGTAAATTTAACCAATTTTGATGCGTGTCATCAGTTCAAGATTTAATTTATTATTTAACCTCTTTATAACTGTAAGAAATACAAGGTACGTTTCAACAAGACAACATCAACCTTGCACTGTGGCTCCGTAAAGATTGCTGGGGAAACAGTAACTCGTGCCTATCTGTAGACTCAGGCTGCTGGCCCGTGACTTGGGCCTGGTAAAGGATTAGACAAGCTGGTCTAACAAAGAGGGTGTTTATGTTGGTTTTTCTTCTGTGGGTTACTATGGGTCAGTGGCGTAGCGAGGTCGGGTGTCACCCGGTGCGGCACCAAATGGTGTCACCCCCCCCCCCAGAGGCGTAACGACTCTTCCCGGGGACAAACTTTCAATTTTCGATTTGCACTCCCCCTCAAACTTTCGATTTGCACCCCCTATATATATTTTACCATTTTCTGCCTTGGTGTCACCCCCCCCCCCTAAATGGTGTCACCCGGTGCGGTCCGCAACCCCCGCCCCCCTCCCCTCGCTACGCCTCTGCTATGGGTTACTACACTTTCCCAGTCTTAAAGTTTCAAATTCTGCGCAGAGGCGTAGCTAGGGGAGGGCGGGTGGGGCGGACGCCAAACAGGGTAAATTTTTTTTAGTAAAAAGCTCATTCTTGGCAGATTTATTGAATGATAGATTGTCGCAGTTAAAATAAATGGACTGCAGCTTTGCTTTACTGACTAACTTAACTGCTTTCAATTTTGTGACGTGACATAATGATAACTGTCAAGGGATATTGACTAGTAAAATGGGGGGGGGGGGGAGTTTCCGCCCATGTGGCGCAAATTTTATAGTTCGCCCCGGGCGCATCGGAATGAGTCGCTACGCCTCTGTTTATTTTTCAGCGTAACAAACGCAAGATAAAAATCAGCATTTAACCTTTCGTAGCCAAGGCGTACGGCATTATTTTCATGCGGGATTAAACAGGCGCCATAAAACAGATAAACTACCGTAACACCTGGCAATACTGTCACATTTTTCCCCGAATCAATGGATCGCACAGAAATGTTATGGTCTTGTAATCCCACTATCAAATTTTAATGCAAGTACCGAAAGACTAAGGGGTGAGAATTTTTTGTCAACATACTTTCATCGATTAAATATTTTTTTAAAAAAGAAATTCTGGTTTTATTAATATAGTGTTAGAATTTTGTGTGGCATCAAAAGGATATAAACTTCACATTTTATTTCTATATTGAAAAAGTGTATACAATTTTATAAAAAATTAAGAATAAAAATTTTAATAAGTAGGCTTATATTGTTCGTCCATTTCAGGGGAGGTAATTCTAGCTAGAAGGGTTAGTATTTAGTACAGAAATTCAAAGCAATAACAACTGTTACCCGTTTTCAATAACAAAATAGAAATACCGTAATCGGAGTGGCAGAAACATTTTTTGTTACAGGTACCCTTGCTACGTTGACTTTTTTAATCAGCCATTTTTTTGTTACAAGAAGTTTGGTTCAGGTACTTAAGATAAGAGCATGACATGACCTCTTTCATTTTGTTAACAGTTTTTTTATTTTACCGACCACTTAGGAACTTGTGAAAATCATACCAGGGGCAGCAACCTTGTGGTAAGACTTTCTTGGTACAACCTGAATTGATTTATCTAAACCGTAATACAGAAATTTGATAAGAAGGATGGCGCACAATTTCTTGGACTTGCTATTTCAGGTGAGTGTCTACTGTCCTCATCTAACGATGTTTAAACTTGTGGTCCGTTATGTCCCTCCCTGTTTTTCAACCAGGTACTTCGACTTGCGATAACTTATTTTATCAGCGCAGATTCACGTGTAGGCCTAAATTAACAATAGTTACTTTTAGTCACTATACAATGTCTGTTTTGTTTGCTCATTAAAAGATAGTGCAGTGGTTCTTAACTTTTTGGAGATACTGACCCCCACCAGTTTCGCATGCGCATTCCCCGAACTTTTCTTAATAGTCAAAAATCCGATCGTGAATTACTATGAGACGGGTAGGTGTCTTTGACCTCCGCCTAACCCCTAGTTTTGATCGAACCCAGGTTAAGAGCCACTGCGATAGTGTATCTAATTTAAAAAAAAGAAGATATATACAATTTTAACCCCTCTTGCGTGATTGTCAGTTCTCAGAGGACTCAATACGCCGTATTATTGGAAATATGTTCAGAATTACACCCATTCTCTGACCGTACACTCATTACACGTAGTTTCTTTCAGGCCACCCTTGGGGAAGGGGAAGGCACTGACCCATCCTCTAAGTGCACGTTCACTTTCCCCATAGTGAAAAGAAAATAATGTATAGAAAATACATGATTTAATCAGTGTCCGTCCCTCCCACTACATCGAAAGTTTCACCCTCCCCACCCCCGACCGAGTAAAATGTCTGACAAAAACTAAAAGAGTAAAATTAAGAAAAGATTAAATTCTCACCTTTAATGTCATTTAGTTTTAGCGTTTATTTGTCAGAGTGACTTTACTTTCCAAACAGTTATTCCATACAACTATGAATTCTAAATCATAACGAAAACCCGTTACCATCAACGCCGTTACTTGTCTGTCGTAAATGCGCTTACATACCTAATTTTTGACTTATTCGTTCATGGCTTAGGGGGAGCAAAGGGCGGCAGCCACACCTCCCCACCGGACTCGGTTTTGGGCGGCTCTCTTTATTTGCCCCTACGTAAGCCCGGCAGCCACTGCCTCACCTTCTACTGTTCTTTTCCAGGATTTCATTGACCGGCCTACTCTCCTCTTTCCCTGGAAATTCCATTCAAATGCTTTCCTCGCGATATCATTCTTCTCAGTGTATTCCCAATCCATCATCATTTGCGGACTTTGATATCCCTGTCAATAGACTGTTGATTTGTGTTTTGTTCACGTATTTAACTAGCGGGTGTGTCCACAGACGGGGTACATGGAGATGGCGGCTGTTGGCACCACGGCTGTTGTTGGTGCTTTAGGTACCAAATACCTGTACAGGACTTACAAGCTGGCTCAAACCAAGGAAAAAATCAGGCGCAGACAACTCAAGTCAAGGGAAACAATCCATCACGTCCAACGATTGGTAGATAGCAAGAAGGTTAATGTTACTTTTTTAAATCATGTAGTTTGTTAGACAATATACGGATAACGTTTTGAGGAAAATTAATCTACACGTATCTTTGAAAATAAATTACATAATAACTGTCCAGGCAGGAAATAAATTAAACTAAGTGATTTGTTCATACACAGCCGTAAATTTTTAGTCTAAATTTTTTATTAAATCTTCTAGTAACTTCCAAACTTCGTTTCTTCGGAACCAAAGTTGGTATTTGATTTCGTTGAAAAAAAAAGACGGGCATATCTATGTGTTCCTCACACTAAAAGGACCTTACAAATCTTTGAGCAGGTGAAGACGGACATTGTCCATCTGCCTTTCTCGGAACTGCAGAAAAGATTACAAGCAGGTGACCTGAAACCATCGGAGGTACTGTTGGCCTTTCAGGCTAAGGTAGGAACTATGTCCAGTTGTGTTAATACGGTCACATATCAGTATAAGCACGGCTTAATTAAAGCAGTTGTTTTTTAATAAATCATTAAAAACTGTCATGCAACTGATAGACTTCAAATTGTACGAAATTTATAACGGTTAATGGAGAGCTTATCTATGTTTGTGGCTATAGAGAATAATCGCGTGTTCCATACAACGCAAAGCTACCATTCAAACCATAAGTTTTAGAGAAACCTTCAGATTAGAGCTGGAACTGAACTCTAGAGATTCTTTCAGCCATATTTTCGTACCCACCTAATCCCTCAAAGACACCCCAAGAATGAAATATAATTTATATAGTATCCGTCGCCCCCCCCCCCCCCCCCTCCGTTCCAGAGATTTTTTAGTCCAACCCCCAAGCTACCCCCTCCTGAAATTTTCAAATGCCCCCCCCCCCCTGTAGAAAAATATCTGAATGAAACGCTGCTGAACTCTAGATTCATTATTAGCATTACTCTACATATCTACCCTACTGTAATCTAAAATGTAAATATACCATTAACGACTTGTTATTGTCACTGTTGGAGCCAGGCCTTACAAGCTCACGCTGAGTTAAACTGTGTCACGGAGTTTATCATCACAGCACAGGTGAGTGATCGATGTTACCGTCTGATTCAACTCACTCTCGTATTGTCATGTTGTGTAAGCTTTAACATTCCGATTCAACTCAGTTATTGTCATGTTGTGTAAGCTTTAACATTCTGATTCAACTCACTCTCTTATTGTCATGTTGTGTAAGCTTTAACATTTTGATTCAACTCAGTTATTGTCATGTTGTGTAAGCTTTAACAGTCTGATTCAACTCACTCACGTATTTTATGTTGTGTAAGCTTTAACCGTCTGATTCAACTCACTCAGTTATTGTCATGTTGTGTAAGCTTTAACAGTCTGATTCAATTCACTCCTGTATTGTCATGTTGTGTAAGCTTTAACAGTCTGATTCAACTCAGTTATTGTCATGTTGTGTAAGCTTTAACAGTCTGATTCAACTCACCCCCGTATTGTCATGTTGTGTAAGCTTTAACAGTCTGATTCAACTCACTCAGTTATTGCCATGTTGTGTAAGCTTCAACATTTTTATTCAACTCACCCCCGTATTGTCATGTTGTGTAAGCTTTAACCGTCTGATTCAACTCACTCAGTTATTGTCATGTTGTGTAAGCTTCAACATTTTTATTCAACTCACCCCCGTATTGTCACGTTGTGTAAGCTTTAACCGTCTGATTCAACTCACTCAGTTATTGTCATGTTGTGTAAGCTTCAACATTTTTATTCAACTCACCCCCGTATTGTCATGTTGTGTAAGCTTTAACATTCTGATTCAACTCACTCAGTTATTGTCATTAGTGTAAGCTTTAACATTTTGATTCAACTCACTCTCGTATTGTCATGTTGTGTAAGCTTTAACATTCTGATTCAACTCACTCTCGTATTGTCATGTTGTGTAAGCTTTAACCGTCTGATTCAACTCACTCCTGCATTGTCATGTTGTGTAAGCTTTAACAGTCTGATTCAACTCACTCAGTTATTGCCATGTTGTGTAAGCTTCAACATTTTTATTCAACTCACCCCCGTATTGTCATGTTGTGTAAGCTTTAACCGTCTGATTCAACTCACTCAGTTATTGTCATGTTGTGTAAGCTTTAACATTCTGATTCAACTCACGTATTTTATGTTGTGTATTTGGAATTATTGTACCCGTAAACCTCAGTTCATATAATCGAAAAAGCTATCCAGACAAGTTATACTAGACTCGACACTACTAGAGGGAGGGTCCCTGAGGGTAGCAAAAGACAGAGGAGAATGGAGTGGCGCCCCAACGATCAGCCTATAAAAAATTAGTTCTTACTTTCATCGACTGGTTGATCATTTTAAACAAGTGTGTCACACGTACATCCATTCATACAATAAATTAAAGACTTGTTGTACTGTCTAATGGTAGCCAAATACCCAATAATTGAGTCGCAGGAGGGTCGATGGGGATATTTCTTTATCTAAACCTACGAATACCATGATCAAGCAGGGTCTAGTACATTGTCGGGGATGGGGATTATCCGGGGAGCAATTGACGGGGAGGGGGGGTAATGCCATGTTCAAGCAGTACCGAAGACAATCCTATGGCTATATCCATTAGGTTTTGATAACTAAAATGTCTATTTTGTTGTACAGGAAAGGGCGGCAACTCTAGACTCCGTGCCCCCCAACGAAAGAGGACCATTACATGGAATACCCATCAGCCTTAAAGAGGCAATAGGAGTGGCGGTAAGCAAAAACCACCTTGACCTCTATCACGATAATTGTTTTTAATTAACCTTTTCATGGGGCTTCTGTTGGTTCTGTGTTGGTCTTGGTGCGTAACTAAATGATAACGTTGATGTGGCTGAAGGCACGCGTCAGGCCTCTAAAGTAAATCGACCAGAGTACTTTAAAGATATCACAACAATCTACTTGCTGTTCACTAATTAAAAAAAACCTACGAGTTAAAATATAGAGACAACAATTATTGTTATACTAAAATTTGTTTTTATTTTAGGAGTGAACGCAGTGGCGTAGCGAGGTCGGGTGTCACCCGGTGCGGCACTTAATGGTGTCACCCCCCCAGAGGCGTAGCGACCTTTCCCGGGGACAAACTTTCAATTTTCGATTTGCACCCACCCCCCTCAGACTTTCGATTTGCACCCCCCCCCTCAAACTTTCGATTTGCACCACCCCTCAAACTTTCGATTTGCGGTCCGCACCCCAGGCCCAACCCCCTCGCTACGCCCCTGAGTGAAAGTACAACAGGCAATCAGCCTAAGATCATTGTAGCTCGTATATGGCGCACCATGTTTACTTCACGAGTTACACCGGTCTATTCTATGGCGAACTATATTCAGAATGTCTAGTGCTTACATTTAAATACATTCCGTTGAAAACAATGACATTAAAATGAAGCGTTAATCAGTTACATATTTCGTCATCCCATATATTAATGGGACGACGTGGCCTATCGTTTAAGAGCTAGAGGTGAAGGTCTCGAGTTCAAATCCGGGTTCGATGTCAGTAAAACGTTAGAGAAAGCAAAAGCGGCTGGGCAAAGTGCTTACCACACTATCCCTCCATATGTCGTGATCTCTGACACATATGCTCTACTTTATCTGGCCCATGTGTCTTGGGCACGAACAGGAAAATATGCCTCATCAGTGTTTCTTCCAGACTCTTTCTCCGGGGGTGGGGGGGGGGGGGGGCACTTGATATTTTCGGGGGGGGGGGGGGGGCGGACACTAGTAAAAGTATATGTTTACTATATAAATTCCATCTCGTTCATGGTGGTGGGGGGGGGGGGGGGTAGATGCCTGGAAGAAAGTCTATGAACCACAGATTAAGCCCATCTTGTCCTGTTCATGACATCAATCGCACCGTCCCACAAGCCAAATTCATCCTTGAATTTCCAAGACCCAAACATTTGTATGATGCTCTGTATATGAAATACATTTCAAATTCTATGACTTTTTTTAGTGCTACAACTACAACTGTAACATCCTTTTCAGTTTCTAATTATGGAAATTTATGTATCATATATATTGAAACTAAATATTAAATTTTCCTATGGATGCTGCATTTTTTTATTCTACGTAAAATTTTAGGCTATACATTTTAAAGTATACTATTGATTATAAATCTATATAGAACGTTAGGGGGTTTTAAGCGTTTTTGTTGTCTTTATTAAAAAGGTCAATTAATTAACCATTTTAAAAAATTAAAACGTTTTGTTTTAAATAAATACAAGCTACGTAAAAGTTCAATATAAACTTTATATTGAATTTTCTCGTAGCTCTTATTATTTAAACCAAAACGTTTTAAAATATTTTTTTAATTGGCTAATTAATTCCCCCCCCCCCCCCTCCCCACCCATTTTTAACCCTAGTACCAACCGCCTGGTATCCGCCACTGCAAGATTTAATCTCTCGACCTAACTTTGCGCACCTGTAGGTTGCGTGATGGTATCTAGACGTATCAGGTTCTTGTGTCGTCATAGGGGCATCACACAAAAACACACAAAACCGCACACAGAAAATCGATAATGCTAAAAATTGTTAAACTTATTACTGATGTGAAGGAGATACAAATTAATGACCAGCTATTTGTGTATGTGTGTGTGTAAGTGTGTCTGTGTGTCTGGTCATTCGTTGATTATTTGCATTAACCTTCACCAGATGTCCACACTGTGACATGAACGCTGAATAATTTTAAATTAATTAATACCACAGCTGTTTTTTTTTTTTTGGTCCTTAAAGCGCTAATCGATATTTGGGTTATTTTTTTATTTTTAAAGCTGAACTCATGACACTAAAGAACGTTATAAAATACACGCTCCAAATACCATGATGTGCACTTAATCATAGTGCTGTACACTCATTCAACGCTGCTGAACGGTTTGAAAGTTACGTATGTTGTATGTCTCCAATGCCCATTTTGAGTACTAACATGGTTTCCGTTATTTTCACATGAAAAATAAATTGAACCTAAATGATACAACGTTTAAAATTCTAGCTGTTTTCATAAGTGAAATACAAATGTCTCATGATACAAACACGATTTATATGGTTTGAAAAATAAAATTAAAATAAAATAGTTGATAACAAATAACGATAATCAATAATGAATTAGCGCATCTTATAAAGTACTCCTTATATTTCCTAGCTGTGTGAATAAGATGTATATTGACCTGTAGTTGGGTGAAATATGTCTAAACATAGGAATGAACACTTCATGGGTACATAGCTAAGTATACTGTACACAGTCATATAACGGTGTGGAAACTCACACTTTTACACATCTAAGTAAACTGTACACAGTCATGTAAATATGTGTAAACTCTCCTTGTACACATCTTGGTAAACTGTACAAAGACAGGTAATCGTGTGTGAACTTATATAGGGGATCCTGACAAAAGGCCGACACGGACAAAATGCCGACACGGACAAAAGGCCGACACGGACAAAAGGCCGACACGGAAAAAAGGCCGACACGGACAAAAGGCCGACACGGACAATAGCTGACGAGACAAAAGCCGACAGCAAAAAGGCCAAGTTAAAGTAAATTATAAATGGATAACTTTTCTCACCTGTATAATTTTCGTTGACCACTCACCTGTCTTACCCCCTCTCCACTCCCCCCTCCCCACAGGGCAGTGACTGTAACACCGGCTGCTCCTACTTCATTGACGACATGTACACGGAGGACAGCGTCATTGTTCAGGTAACGTTTTGGTATACTCGTCGTGTGTACGTAATTCATTTCTTCAATTGCACTAATTGCGTGTGTGTGTGGGGGGGGGGGGGGGGGGAAGGACAGCGTCATTGTTCAGGTAACGTTTTGATACATTCGTCGTGTGCATTTCTTCAATTGTACTCGTTTAGGGGGGGGGGGGTGAGAGGACAGGGTCATTGTTCAGGTAACGTTTTGATACATTCGTCGTTTGTACATAATTCATTTTCTTCAATTGTACTCGTTTAGGATGGTGGGGGCGTAGGACACTGGTAAAGGTATATTTACACAATGCTTCTTTCGCGGGGAAGGGGTTGGGCGTGTTTCGGGGTGATGGGGGGGGGGGGGGGGGGTGGGCATAAGAACCATGTTTACACGATATAAATGTACATTGAATGCCCAAAATCCTGCTGCACAAAGATGATAACGCTAACGCTAACTGTCACCCCATGTGAATAAATATTCGCCCCTTGATCGTCTAATAGATAACAGATTTTATTTCTTTGCTCACATAGATGCTGGTTGCTCTCGGCGCTGTTCCGTTTTGTCGCACCAACCTCTCCCAGGCTCAGATGAGGTGAGGTTTATATACTGGAATGTTGGTCTAGCTTTAAACCTAGCTTTTTACAATGCTGGTCGCCTAGATATTACACGCAATAAATAGCTTAACGGGGGAAAAAGTTTATTTTAATTTTTAAAAATTTAATTGATTCGACATGCGGCTATTTGATATTTAATAGAATAATCTAGCACTTATGATCCATACAATATGCAGGCTACTCAAATAATGTTAGTTTATTTTTTATATTTGTAAAAGTGTAAAAACCTGATAGTTCACGATTTGTTTCCTAAGCCATTCAACAATATTTTTTTGTACACAAATTCATATTCGTTTATGGTGCTGATGAAATGTTTTTGCTTAGTGTAGTTTTTCTTTCAGAAATCTCTCCGGCAATGCCCCCTATCCCTCCCCCACCCTGAGCAATCCACCCCCAACCCTGGCAAAAGAAATTTTTAAAGGCGGCTTGGCATAGTGCTCGCCATTTTATCCCTTCATATGCCGAGTTCATAGAAACAGGTGAACTCTACTTCACTTGCTACATGGCCCATCAGGTTCGAAAAGGGAACTTTTATAATTCATGCAGTGTAATATAACCAGTATCCCTCCTCCTCTATCGGAATTTTTAGCCCCCCCCCCCTCTTCACTGGGAAAAATGTTTGAAAGAAACCCTTGCTTAGTGTGGTTGCTGATGTATGTTTTCTGAAAATCAATTTCATCGAATCCCTAGCATCTCCTGTTACAACCCTATCTACGGGACCACCTACAACCCGCACCAGAAACATCGCACCAGCGGGGGGTCCTCGGGTGGAGAGGGCGCCCTGATTGGCGCAGGGGGCTCCATCCTGGGCGTCGGCTGTGACATGGGCGGCAGCAACAGGATCCCGGCCCACCTCTGTGGGATCGTGGGGGTCAAGCCCACAGCAAAACGTATCTCGTGAGTACTAACGGCAGGCAGGGGCAGCTCACTCGTGCTGGGACCTTGTCGGGACCTAGTAGTGGCCCTTTATCAGTTTGAATTGTAATGGGATATTTACTGTTATAGTTATAGGACCAAATTTTGGGACTCCTAACATCCAGACACTGCGACGGATGCACGTTCAGCTTTATTTGTTATTTGTTAGTGTGTAGGGTGGGGGTTATTTATGAAAATAATTATATACAACATTCCTTTAAAAAATGTACTGCGGTGGGGTAGGGGGGGGGGGATTTTACAAGCAGCATCATAATTATAGAGTTAAATGCTTCAACTCAGATAATTGCATGTACGAATGGTTCACTTACAAATATATTAATGGTTTAATTATATATATATATGCATATTCTAAAGTTGAATAGACAAGTTGGGCAACAACAAAAAAATCAGTTCTATTAATAAAGTTAAGTGCTTTAAATCCGGCAATTTTATGAATGAATGGTTCAATTACAAAAATGTTAATGTTTCATTTATATATCCATATTCTAAAGATGAATACATAAGTTGGGCAGAACAAGCCGCTCTTATAATAATATTAGTTCAAATATTTCACCCTTAACCTTTTCTATAGGGGTCACGGATGCTTCTCATATGGACAACACATCACTACTAGTAAGTTTTTCTTTGAAATTTAAAATATCATAGTTGGATACTTACCCCACATCATGATCTTGAATATCTTTATCGTAGCATGTTGTATTAGATGTCTTTTATTCACCTCGTACATTACATGATAAGTCCTACTTTCTGTCTGCGATGTTGCCACTAAACTAAAAACAACTTTTGATTCTGTTTTTGGAAGACTCCCTATGTCTCCTTAAATTTTGAAAACGAAATACTTAGATTTATAGGGCTCCTCTGTGAGCTGGTAATTCCTATTTTATGAATGCAAGATTGCGATCCATTGTATTACAAATGTAGAAATAGTAAAGTATCGTATCCAGGGATTAATAAGAGATTTTAAGTACATTAATTAGTGGATAGTTGTCTATGGGCTTATCCAGCACTTTATGTGGACAGTCATTCACAAAAACTTGATTAGTCAGTCTTCTTCTTCTTTTTCGTACTTAATTATTAGTGTTGAAGTCAAAATATGTCTTCGTGTTGTTGTTTTTTTTAAAACTTGATTGTCTCCCTTTTTTCACTCGATTTTCTTCTATTACAACTTGATTATCACCCTGTAAACAGTCGCTGAAATGTACGGGCCCATGGGCCGGGATGTCGATGCTGTGCTAGCCTTCATGAGGGCCATGTTGAGCCCTAAAGTCTGCACCTTTGACCCTTTGTTGGCTCCTGTTCTCTGGAGAGAGGAGGTATCGTCCATGTTGATATTTTCCGTTGTTTAACTGTTCAGTTTCACAGTCTGTGGGAAAAAATATTTTTCTAGGTGACGTTCATCTATTGTACACAACACTTTTCTAACTGTCATTCATATATATATATATATATATATATATATATATATATATATATATATATATATATATATATATATATATATATATATATATTCATTCTACCTTTAAATATAAATATTAAAACGCCCTCAGCTGTACGCATCCAAAAAGCCAATGAGAATCGGCTATTACGTCAGTGATGGCTGTGTAGAACCTGTACCTGCCGTGTGTCGGGCAGTCGAGCTAGCTAAACAAACCCTGGCTAACCTAGGGCACACGGTGAGCAGTTAAAGTTTATTTATCATTACACTCGTAGGCAAAGAAAATTATGGGTTATAGTTATATGGTTTAAGTTTCGGTTCTTGTTGTTAAAACGTATTTCTTGATATCCAAGGGAAACAATTTTTATTTTTCTCAAAATCTAGATTGTGGAGTTCTCCCCCTTTGATGTTGAATACGCCTTCGAGAAGCTGTTTCTTGGTGTGGTGCTTGGTGACGACGGAAAAATGGCCAAAGATATTCTGTTCGTTCTTACTTTATTTGATGGGTTTTTTTTCTAATCTATTTAAAGATATTTTGTCGGATGTTACATTAATTTGCATAATTTAAGATTATATCTTTTATTAGTGATATCAGATTAGCATTATTTACGGTGTTAGCAAATGATTTTCTTCTACTTTTGATTATAGAGTCAATGACTTACAAGACCCTAGTGTTCAAGAACTAATAACTTTATACAACAAGCCAGTTTGGTTTAGGAAACTGCTCAGCAAGCTGTGTTTTTTCCTTGTAAGTTATGTACATTTATCCTGGTCATAATACAATATTAAACAAGATATCAGATAATTAATTTAAGTACATGAAAAAATTGAAAATAGAAAGGTATTTAAGAAAACTCAGGTGAAAAGCCTAAATAGAATGAGCATGATGCTAGTTGGTATGTTCATGCTGTTTATAGAAAATTCTTTTATGTACGATATCAAGTAATCATATAAGTCTTTTAAGGTTTTTTTTAAAACATGAATGCTTCAGAATGACTGTATCTCTCCCCCCACCCCCAACAATTTTATCCACATGTATATAGCCAATATAGACTTGAAAAAGATCGGGTTGTGCTGGACTTAATTCATTTATATCTTACATGGTAGCCAGACTTTACAAACAACATAAATGAGCTAAAATTCAATTTACAAATAATTTTTCAAACTGGTTATTATCTACTTAAAATAACCATTTGAAATAACCACACCTTTTCATTGGCAGAGTTACATGTTATTTTTGTACATGTGTAAAATGTATTCTACAAGTTAATGTGAGTCGGGTTTCCTATTTTCTCAGCATCCAATAGAAAAGGCATTAGTCCGGGCACAAGCACCAAGGTAACATGATAAAATTTGAAAAAAATAAATATATCTGCACTTTATAAATGTAGTGATATCCAATCCATAATTTTCAGCTATTTTGTTTTATCTAAATAACTTACAACATGCTAATTCAGAAAGATTGTGTTTGTTATAGTACATGAAATTAAAGAAATTCTTTTTGTTGATTTTTTTGTTTTTTAGATCAATCTGTGATTGGTGGAATAAAAATGAAGATGTAGAGGTAAGGTAGATAAAAATGAATAACTCTTGTTCAATTTTAATTTTTATGAACTAAAAAATTATGAATGAATGCTCTTTTCTATAAGACATTTAGCTTTTATAAGGAGTACAAATAAAACATTAAAAATGTTAATAAAAAAATAACATAGTAGGCCTACTATTTATTAGCTTTACCTAGGTAGAACACGAAGAAATGATAACTATTCAAAGTAAATATTTTTTATATAAGATATATTGTTAGATATGTTTTTAGATTAGGCAGAAACTACTACATATCTGATTAGAAATTAAAATAGCCAAGTCATTAATCACAACATTTTATTGTTTTAAATAAAATTCACTAATCACTTTGTATTTTCAACTCACTCCCAATTTTTAAAATATCCTTTAAATAAATAACGATTGCATATTATTTGTCCTTATTACTATCATTTTTTTATTGTTTGTGGTATTTCACGAAATTCAGGTTAATTTAATCATGTGATTCAACAGAAATATACCAGACCGTTTATTGTGATATTTAGCCAAATTCTATTAGGTCAATTTAGTGTTGTGACCTCTCAACAGAAATATACCAGACAGTTTATTGTGATATTTAGCCAAATTCTATTAGGTCAATTTAGTGTTGTGACCTCTCAACAGAAATATACCAGACAGTTTATTGTGATATTACCTCTCAACAGAAATATACCAGACAGTTTATTGTGATATTACCTCTCAACAGAAATATACCAGACAGTTTATTGTGATATTACCTCTCAACAGAAATATACCAGACAGTTTATTGTGATATTACCTCTCAACAGAAATATACCAGACAGTTTATTGTGATATTACCTCTCAACAGAAATATACCAGACAGTTTATTGTGATATTACCTCTCAACAGAAATATACCAGACAGTTTATTGCCCAGTGGAAGAAGCTGCAGCTGGATGCTCTGATATGTCCAGCTTTTCCATGTGCTGCCTGGCCAGCTGATCAGGAGGGATCATGTATTGGTAGGTGTTTCTTTCATGCTTTTCTTTTTAAAGGATCATGTATTGGTAGGGGGTTCTTTCATGCTTTTCTTTTTAAAGGATTGTGTTTTGGTAGGGTTTTTTTTCATGTTTTTCTTTTTGGAAGATCACCTGTTGGTGTTTCTTTCATGTTTTTCTCTTCAAAGGATAATACATTTTTAGGTTGTCCATTCATGTTTTTCTCTTCAGAGAACACTCTCAAGGGGTTAGACAATTTTGATACATTTAGTTGATCTACAATATTAATATTAAATTAAATGGACAAAATGAATGTAATTTATGTATAAAAACAAAAAGAATATAATTAAATATGTAATGTATAACTACCTTCATTGTAGGAAATGAATTTTAAAATCATTACTCGATTTTTGAGACTAGTTTTAAAATTTTATGTACAAAATCAGTTTAGACACAATTTTTAATTTGTGTTAACTATATTTCAAAACCAGAATCTCTTTATTATAATTTTTTAAAATTATATAGTGATGTTTTAATACTGAATAATAGATTAGTGGCAGGAGGATCTAAAAATGTTATTTTTAATGAGAATGAAATTTTTTCATGGTAAGGGTTATAAAACTGTTAGTACAGAATTCTGGAATAAAACCTCAAAAATGTAATTACTGTATAAAAATTATAGGATTTTGGGAATAGATTTGTTGTAGCTTCCATAAAAGTTAGTTGGCTCATAGTCCTTATTTACAACTCTGTCCTTTATTTACTAATATATCTGTCAACTAGTGCAAGTCACATACACAACAGTGTCCTTTATTTACCATTATATATCTATCAAATAGTGGGAGTCACATACACAACTGTGTCCTTTATTTACCATTATATATCTATCAAATAGTGGGAGTCTCATACACAACTGTGTCCTTTATTTACCATTATATATCTATCAAATAGTGGGAGTCTCATACACAACTGTGTCCTTTATTTACCATTATATATCTATCAAATAGTGGGAGTCTCATACACAACTGTGTCCTTTATTTACCATTATATATCTATCAAATAGTGGGAGTCACATACACAACTGTCTACAACATCATGGGCTTCCCCTGTGGTGTTGTCCCAGCGACCCAGGTCACACAACAAGATGTGGTCAACATGAAAAGTTACCCCGCCAGAAACTCGGCAGAGAAGCACATTCAGGAGGTCAGTGGTGTTGTAACTATATGGTTCTCGTTTGTTTTACATAATTTAACTGGCCAATATGTCGGATTTGAAGTAGTTATGTCATAAATGGCCTAAAATATGGGCTCATTTACTGGTCAAAGATTTAAAAAGTATTTTCAAATACTCATTAACCAAGAGTTAAATTACTGGTTTATGTGTTTAAGTTAAAGTGGTCATAGTTTCTTTAACCCAGAATTCTACCTACAGTTGCTGGTTTAATGAAGAAAACATGCATGTAGAAAAAAGCTAATTAAAAAGTTTAAGAAATAAGAATTTACTTTGCATCTAAAACAAACATTTTAATTAGCTAACTTTTCTAATATGTAGATGGTTTCAGTTTAAAAAAAAAAGTAAAGATCCCTTTTTGAACATTTAAGTCCATGGGACAAGTGAAGAGGAGTTCACCTGTTTCTGTGACCTCCCATATGAAAAGATAGTATGGTCAGCACTACGCCCAGCTGCCTTTGTTTCCCTAAAGTGAGTTAAGTACCCATCAAAGCAGGATGGACTTAGTGACGTTCGATTGTCTTGAACTGGGATTTGAACTCAAAACTTTCAGATTAGCAGTCTAGCTCTCTATCTTAGGCCATGCTGTCCCATTAGAGGATAAATCTGTTTTCAAACTTTATTTCTCATTTGATGTTGTCTTTACTCTTAGATAAGCAAAGGCTCTGAAGGTTTGCCTATAGGTGTTCAATGTGTGGCTCTTCCTTACATGGACGAGGTCTTGATCAAACTGATGAAAGAACTGGAGACTGGCTTGAATAAGTAGACGCTCAGTGTGACACTTCCTTACACTTACATGGACATGAATAAGTAGGCACACAGTGGGGAACTTCCGTACACTTATATAGACATGAACAAGTAGACACTCAGTAGGTGACAATGTGTGGCACTTCCTTACACTTACATAGACATTAATAAGTAGACACCGATCCACGTCCCTACAGTTTCTGTACATTTTTCTTGTAACATATTTTATCTTTTGATTTTTACTAAATTTTGTAAATAAAATTTCTTTAAAAGTCAAAATAATGATTCACTTATCCAGTTCAAACTGATGCTAAGTATGTTATGTTAAATAAAAAATATTTGAAATTCAGTCACTGTAAATTATTTTAATATATTTAATAATTTGAAATAAAGTTCTGATGAAAGACAACTTAATTTTTTAAAATGCATTTAACAACAAACTAATACTCATTTTTCTTACATTGGACAATCATGAGAACTTTAAAGACAATTAGTTAAAATATTTTTTTTATTTTGTTGTATTCTTGTAATTGTAAATGTAATATGTAAAGGTTATTCTTTAATTAAAGACATATTCTGTTATATTCTTGTAAATGTAATATGTAATGGTTATTCATGCATTAAAGACATATACAGATATTAAATATTTTAATTTTTTTTATGATTATATTATTTGTTTTTAAATGATATTTTAATATTTTGCAATATGATATTATCACATTGTATATTGAACCAACTAAAATACATTTAGCTTGAGCTAATAATTTGGGATAAAAAAACTTGGGCTGCAAAGTTGAATTTAAAGGCTACACTTGTTTCTGTGTTTATACTTAAAAGAGAAAAATGTAAATGTGATTCTTACAAAGATTTTTTTTTAAATCAACATTAACTTAAATTACGTTATGTGAAGAGTATCAATACTAAAGGGAAGCTACAAACAAATTACAAACGCTATACTATTAAAACGAGTAGTGGTCCTTGTTGCTTGTAAAAAAATATTTCAAACATGATAACATCAAATCTCTTAACGAAATAAAACTATTTCTCATGATTCTGACACAGCAGGACAGGTTTAGTAAACAAAAATATCAACCTTTTTATAAAAAATCATGACATTTGTTAATTGTTGAAGGTCTACATCTTACATTATTCTAGGAATACACAAATAAATTTTACACCACACATAAATAAGGGGTAAATCTCGCATATTTATCTCGTTATTGAATCGTCACGGTAAAAACTTAAAAAGACACTAAGTAACTGTATAAACATGCCAGCCATCTAAACCTCTAACATATGTAGGCTATAAATCTATATCTAGTATATATTTGAACATTTTGAATACAAAGCCTGTTACAAACTATTTTTATTTCGATAAAATCAAACATTGGGAAATAAAATAACCAACTTTTAGACTGATTAAATTTTTACTGAGCTGACCTAGCCGACCCCCCCCCCCCCCCTCCCACGACGAAGCAAAATGGCACCCGGTGCAGGTTCGGGTCACAGTTGGACTCATCGATTGGCCCGTCTTTGTTGTGTGAACAGATACAGGCCCGTCCCATCCGCTGCTTTGTACAGTCGTGGGGCGGGAGGGGGGAGGGTGATCTGACACGTGGTTTGGATTATCACCTGGCAGGGTACCTGTCTGCTGGGGGTGGGGAAATGGTTCTGGGGGAGTGGGGGAGAGTTGCTGGGTACCTTTCTGATAGAGCCGGGTCCAGGTGGTTGGTGTAAAAGCCAGGAAACGCGAGCCGTTGTGTAAAAGCCAGGAAACGTGAGCCGTTGTGTAAAAGCCAGGAAACGTGAGCCGTTGTGTAAAAGCCAGGAAACGTGAGCCGTTGTGTAAAAGCCAGGAAACGCGAGCCGTTGTGTAAAAGCCAGGAAACGTGAGCCGTTGTGTAAAAGCCAGGAAACGTGAGCCGTTGTGTAAAAGCCAGGAAACGTGAGCCGTTGTGTAAAAGCCAGGAAACGTGAGCCGTTGTGTAAAAGCCAGGAAACGTGAGCCGTTGTGTAAAAGCCAGGAAACGTGAGCCATCGGGTTAAAGCCGGGAAACTTGGGCTAGTGCGTAAAAAGCCAGTGAATTTGGGCTATTGTGTAAAAGCCAAGAAAAACGGGCTATTGTGTAAAAAGCTGGAACTTTTGGCTTTTGTGTGAAAACATGGATTGCGCGCTATTTTATACAAGCCAGAAAAGTGGACTTTAGCGTAAAATTTAGGAAGCTTGCTCTATTGTGTAAAAACCAGGAAAAGTGGGCTATTGTATAAAAGCCAGAAAACGTTGGCTAATGTATTTAAATAAGGGTTTCATCCACCCATTCATTAATCACTTGTCTCAGTTACGAGAATAAATAAACCTTATCTCCAGCAGTTCTAAGTTATATCGTAATAATATGGGGGCGTACAGGATAAATTATTCTTGCATCACACATATATCCTTATAATATGTACATGATAGATTCTTCTTACATCACACTTGCACTAAAACATCCATAAAACATCCATAAATCATCCAACCTTCCACACAACAACCACCCTGCCTGTAAACAAATCCACAAAACACACTGACACTAAAACATCCGGACAGCGCCTACACCCATACAATAAATAAAGTAAAGAAAAAAAGCAACAAATCATAACACTAAGAACATTTTTAACAATATCATTCCAGCTTTAAATTTTACTTTTCACTCCTGTGGAACATTTATCAACACCTACAGCTATCGCATTGTTATAGATCCGAACCCACGCTCTGATTATAGTCCAGTCCCTTCTACCACCCACCCTCTTGCCTTGATCACCCAGGCATAAAATAACCCCAAGGACTAAATCGTTTCCATGATAGCAGTGTCACTACACAGCAAGTTAAAATTAGATCAAGGCGAATAACTACCAAACCAAAGAATAGTTCTCTTTAACTCCCCTGTTTTCTAATCCAGAGCCGGGATTAGAATACTTACCAACTCAACCGTTTTAGCCCTAAACCGCTATCATATTACAACATAGAGGTTACAAATGAATAGACTTTTTTTTAAAAAAGGCCTAAAAGTAATCTGTATCATTTTGTACATTTAATACAACAAAAATATTTTGTCTCTTTTATTTTTTAAGAGTATCAACATCACAGTCATGTTCTGAATACAACGTCCTATGATGGCTACTTCAACCGATCCCCTAAATGTTCCCCTTTAGTAGCGGGATGTTCTGTAGTAATCGACCGTTTCACACCCTGTTGCGTTGCGAGCGCGGTAAAGCCAGTGTGAAAACCAGCGTAGGGTACTGAAACTCCTTCCACAAGATAACAGAAACGGGGGATCGGGCTATTGTGAAGAAAAGATTCTGACTTTAGTCAAGTCGGGTCACAACTCACTTGTCACGATTATTTCCCTTGGTGTTTTTTTTTTTCAATGCGGGTGCCGCTTTCGCGCCCGCAAGGGCCGCAACTGTGAATGAAATTGGAAACTTCCAAGCGCTTGAACAATTTATCACGCAGTTACCGGCCATTGGCCCTGTCTCAGCGTCGTCAGCGGGGTGTGGAAAATAAAGGGGGAACAACTCTCCAAGCGCAGTCTTCTCTCGCCAGACGACATCGTTTACCTCCCTGTGGAGTTTTTTCTCTTTTACAAAACTTCTCTCCCTTGTGTCGAAGTGAAGAAAAAAAAAATACTCGCGATGAAGTGATGTGGAAAAATTAAAACCGAAATTAGCAAAACGATATTTCTTAATTGCCTTCCGTGGCGTCAACGCAGACAAGTTTTTTTTTTGAGCAAGTCATTGACGGTTAGAACCTTCGTGGCTATAGAAGCGACGTTACAATACCAAGACGCATCACGTTACAAATTCATACAGTTGGCGAGACTAGAGTAACAAAATATTCATCCACTGAGCCAATTTGTAATGCGCCCCTGCGGCGCACCAATGGCGCAACTTTAAAAAAAAAATCTTCAGAACATGACGTGCAAAGTTTCACGACAAATTGTTTGAGACTTTTGAATTTGTTTTTTAATATCTAGCTTAGTATTTCTCCCCTAAATAAAAGGCAGCAACTGCGCTTTTATCTTCGACAGTCTAAGCAATTTTTTTTTTTGCACAGTTCGTTTTACGAAAAACAGAACATAAAACATGAAATGTAGCTTTATACTTTAAAATATGAGCTATAATAAATTTCAATTGAAATTTCTTTCGGGTTTTTACACAGACACATATGCTGGCTTAGATGATGTGCATATCATCGTATGATCACGGGATTTATGCACATACACATATGTTGTACACACACGCTCAAAAGATAATATTAAACATCACTAAACAGAAGTGAAGTATTACATCAATATTTTCTTACATTGACCATGTTAGTAAAAATTAATTAATTTATTAATAAATTTTGTTTGTTTTTTTTTTGCAAAAAAAATACACTAGTGGTTTAAAGAAACTACTTGATATCAAATCAAGCATTTATTGGAAAGTAGCTACAATTATAGCTAGATAGCCCGAAAGTCTCGGGTTCGAATGCGGGTTCAAGTCAGTAGAATGTCTTCTCCAAGTCACGTCTTCTTCATGTCCTTGTCCGTCTGAATTTTCTTCAAAAACATTTAGAGCAGTGGTTCTTAATTTGGGTTCGATCAAACCCCAGGGGTTCAGTGAGTCAGTCTCAGGGGTTCGGCGGAGGTCAAGATACACACCCAACTTATTTGATTCATGATCAAATTTTATCAGCGCCGACGATAGAACTATCAATAAAGGTTCGGTGAATTCACCAAACACCTTAAACTTTTTGGAGGTACCGAACCCCACATAAAATTAGTGGGGTTCGGTACATCTAAAAAGGTTAAGAACCACTGGTCTAGAGCTATGTATAGGATAAAGACGAGCAAACACGTTTTTTTTTAAAAAAAACAACAAAAAAAAACCATCACGAAATTAAAAAAAACCTTAACCTTTTTGGAGGTACTAAGCCCCACATGAAATTAGTGGGGTTCTGTACATCCAGAAAATTTAAGAACCACTGGTCTAGAGCTATGTATAGGATAAAGACGAGCAAACACGTTTTTTTTTTTTAACCACGAAATAAAAAAAAATATTTCACACTTCCATCTTGTGTTTACCAGGTGTAACTCCACGTACATAACAAAAGGTGCGAGAAATACCTCCGCGGGTAACGCTACCCCCGGGAATCGTATTCTAATGGTTTAACAGCGCCATTGCCCACAAAGCCACACTCGCCTCCCAGCCCCTCTCAACCCACGGCACGTGCCTCGATAACTGCTCTCACAGTTTACTTAAAGTAGCCGTTAAAGAGTTAATTCTAGACAAACATTGCTCTCGCGGTGGTTCGTGAAAAAAAAAAATAATGGTAGGCGGAGTTTATACGACACCCTGAATTAGGTCTACACATTTTTTTTTTTTATCACAGGGGTAAGTAAGAGTTTTCTAGATCGTCATTACATGAAAGAGAGCAAATGACGGGTC